ATCTTCCCATGTCAGCGAGCCGTAAATGTCGTTGGCGAAGGGAAAGTCAAGCCTCCAGGCAATATTGCGGTGATACTTGTAACGCCTGGTTCTGATGTAACGTGTTGGCCAATAGTTGGTGGACTCATGGAATGTGTGAGAGCCAAAGACATGATCCCAGTCGGCGAGATCGTGGTTCTCGTTGACGATGTCGAAGAATGAGCGACCGGCAAGCTGTGACTTGGCTTCGCCTGAGGCATCGCCTAAGATCCAGTCCAAGATTGTAGGCAGAACGTCTACATAAGATACAAGATTCGGGTTGACGGATGAAGCTGAACCTGGAAGTCTAGCAATGAGAGGGAGCCGAATACCAGCGTCATACAATGTAGTCTTGGAGTTCAAGAAAGGAGGGCCATTGTCGCTCATAAAAATGACCAAGGTGTCCTTCGCATAGCCAGATTCTTCTAGCTCGCGAAGAATCATGCCAACGCCTTGGTCAAGACGGCTGATGGCTTCTGCATAACTCGCAAGCTCCTGTCGCACACCGGGAGTATCGGACAGAAATCCAGGAACGATCATGTCCTCCGGTCTGTACGTAATACTCTTGATTCTTTCGTCGACAGGTTCATCATTGCCGAAACCTCCACGCGTGCGGTCGCGGTGAGGATCATGGTATCCGACTGTGAGTACAAATGGCCGACCATCTTCCTTGGAGGCACTGAAGAACTCTGCCGCACGCTGAGAGGACCACCATACATCTCGCGTCAAGCTCTCGGCCCGCCATTCCCAGGGATATACGGCATCAGGCCCGACGTGGACCTTTCCGATAATTCCGGTACGAACCCCGTTCTTGGCGAGCAGAGCAGGACCGGACTCGATGTGATCAAACGTCATGAAGTGATGCTTGCCACTGTTGAGTCCGTACTGGCCGTTCTGGTGAGTATGAAGTCCGGTGTAAATGGTTGAGCGACTTCCACTGCAGGATGCGGTGCTTGCAAAAGCATTGTCGAATCTGGTGCCTTCGGCGGCGAGTTTATCGATGCTTGGTGTTTTAATGTAAGTACAGCCGTAGCAGCCGAGCTGTTTGCCCAAGTCGTCTGCGACGAGCAAGAGAACATTTCTTGGCGCCATTTTTGTGAGCAAAATGACCAAGAGTTGAAGCTGGGCTTGTTGAGGACGGGAGGATCAGATGCAGCCTGCGAAGTAGCTTGGAGTTGCACAAGACAAAGAAGTGTTGTCTCGCAAGAGACGCCCACGATGTCAGTTCGAACGCATACGAATGATGTGAAATTCAGGATTATGACGTCTTCACATATAATGATACCCTTACCGTTCTTATCTTGTTGTACCCGAGGCAAAAGTACTCGAGATGCCGGTTTCCCGGCCGCCACACATCGTGTCTCTCCTCAGAGTGAGGCATCATGACAACCCACATTACAAACTTAAAGTACGGTCCCACTCGAATTCTTTCACGACAATATTCATTGTCGGATGTCGGCAAGTGACAGCTCAAATTCCACCAATACCGTGAGTTATGTCCTACAATAGCTTCGGAAGCTTGGGGATAAGCCGGTCGAGAGTTGACTTGATCACGCAATCACAGGGGGCAACATTAGCTTGGCAGTTTTGGGAATTGCTTGCAGACTCCATGCCTTTTCCAAGCTAGTAGAACGCTTATTTCACCAACACTTTCTGGTATCATTTCTAAAGCTCTGTTGCCTGGATAATTGGATCGTATCCTCACTTGATGAACGCATGTTCATCCCTCACTTCTCAGCTTTGACCCCAGCCGTCAAGGCCACATATTGATGGCATTCACCTGAAGCAGACAAGCTCTAGTCAACTTCCTTGAAAATGGTCTAGTCTACAACTAGACGAAAGCCCGAAAGGCTGTCAGGCGGGGCTTCGGGATGCCCTAGATCTTTCCGCGATACCATTAACTTCGACATCACGAGGAGGGGAATTTCCCTCATGAGTCAATACTCGGCTGCTTACTATTTCTCAGGCTCCAAGCGAGCTTCAAGATCCTGATCGGCAAGCTCATCCGATAGAGCCCATCTATCAGCGTATTGTGAATAGGGTCATCAAATGTCGTGATTTGAATTGAAGGATTGTCTTTCTTCATCAAGATAAACAGAGTTAAAGAGACGTTCTGTTTGTATTTAATGCTCGCGTTTCACCTTTTTAATAGTTGAAAATAAAGAGCATTCTACATAGGATTACTCTATCATAGCGAGATCAGACAATGAAAGCCACTTACTTCTTAGGCTTCGTCTCAGCATGGCGGGCGGCAGCTCAGCTTACTGGTGCGGTCGGACCAACCACAAGTTTGAGCCAGAAAACAACAGAGTGTAATATCCTGAACTACGGGGCAGTTAACGATAACTCCACAGACGCCGCTGATGCCATAGAGAAAGCTTTCAAGACATGCGTCCTACCTCACGCGGGAAGCCGGCTCATTGTCCCTGATGGCCAGTACCTGATCAAGCGCACGGTGATTCTGTCGAATGGAACCAACTGGGCTTTTCAACTCGACGGTCTCATTACCCTAGCGTATGGCGGCAACTGGACTGTTGATCGTGAGTTGATCTTGCAAGGCTTCGCTGGAGTTGGGCCGCTGAACGCAACCATCAACGGCGAAGGCGATGGCCAATTTCTGCAGAACGGTATCACAATCATCAATCGTACGTTTCTTCTCCTCTCATGTCGTGAGAGTGACTAACACTGGTAGCCGTCGACTTCGAGTTTTACTCCAAGAATGGGAAGGGTGCCATTCAGGGTCAAGGCTACCTGTATAGAAACCTCGCCAAGTACGGAATTCAATCAACCACCCATTCACGATGATTGATATGAATAGCATTTGCTAACGACTCGCAGCACTTTCCGTCCCCGACTGATCCGCCTGATTTCTCCCACCAACACTGCAGTCCATGATCTTATTCTGGTTGACAGTCCTAAGTTTCATATTGTCTTCGATTTTGCTGTCAACCTTGAGGTTTACCACCTAACAATCCGAGGCGCTAACCTTGGCTCATATGATGGTGTCGACGTAGTGGGCACGAATTACTGGATCCACGACATTGAGGTACATGTCCTGCACGATTCGGTTTCGAGTCAATCGCCAATGTTGACTCGCTGCTAGGTCACCAACCGAGACGAGTGCGTTTCCGTCAAGAGTCCTTCTAACCATGCTTTGGTAGAGAATTTGGTCTGCAACCAAGCAGGATCTGGAATCTCTATCGGCAGTTTGAATGTCTCTGCTTCCATCGCCAACATCGTAAGGATCATATCAGTCGTTTCCGGTTATGCCTACTAAAATTGAGCAGCATGCACGCAACATCAGCATCATTCAGGGAAACAACATCGCATTCATCAAGACATACCCTGGAGGCTCAGGGTATGTCACAAACGTGACATTCGAAAACTTTCGCTCCAAGGCATCTCTCTATGGGTTGGACGTCAACCAATATTGGCAAAACACATTTGAGCCAGATACCGGTGCTGTTGCTCTGAGCAATCTCGTCTTCCGCAACTTCTCCGGTAAGCCTTTATGTCGTAATCTGACGCGGGATTGATCATTGCTAAGAGTAGGAACCTAGGTTCCGTCGCCGATGGTGCTAAGCGGCCACCTTTGTATCTGATCGCTAATGACCTGACATATGCTACAAATGTTACTGTTGAGGAATTCAGTCTCTGGACAGAGTCTGGTACCAGCGTCGTCAATAAAATTAGCAACATCTTTGGCGCCGGAGATAACTCTTATGGGACGGGCAACGGTATCAAATCACTTGCAGCTAAGGCGTCACCTGCACCCTACACCAGTACCTATACTATCACGGCATCACCGACAGGTTGGACGGCCCCTCCGTCGCCAACTTGGGCCTTGCCAAATACCGGATATGGAAGTAAGTCGAAACTGAATGCCATCACCCGCTGCTTTCCGCTAACATCCAGTAGCCGACGTCCCCATTCCGGTCTATACTCCGGCACCGCTTTGGAAGCCCGAAGGCGATTATGACAAGCATTATTGGGGGTCATTCTGAGAAATGTGGCTCCTCTTGCAACATATCATAACCGTAAAACCATGATTTTAGGTTCTAATCAGACTCTTCACGCCTTGAGTCACCGTCAAGATGTAGCTAATAGTAGCCCTTGGACATACTATTAATATTTTGTTATGTATGCCTATGTCTAAATTTGGACAGATCTCTAGAAGCATATAATCCCAATCATCGCACCTCCTCTTTAGTCATTGTGAAAAGTTATCTTCCTTGCCTCGCCATGGTTCATCCCTACAGCAACTCGCAGGTGCTATAAATTCGAAAAGTCCACTTTGAGTACAACCTGAGTCCTAATCAACTTCACGGTAGTATCGATACATGTAGTCTCATCAGGAGCCTAGCAAGAGACAATTAAGTCTTTGCTAGGAAGGACCTCGCGATGATGATGAAAAGCATACCAAGGCTATCGTGTCAAAGTAATTAAGTAATGCCAGTGAAGGTCGAGACAGCATCGAAAGTTCTTCTACCTAGGCAGGAGGATTTGAGTCAAGCAGCATATCTGTAACAATTTCCTGGAACGTACTGTTGGCGCAATGTTTAGTTCAGACATGCTCCTACAAAATCAAGTTGGCCGTCACCTCGGATGAGCAAGGATCTGTCGCGTATCTTTTGGTGCGAATACGGGACAGCCCAGCCATTGGTCCAAATCTTTTTTGCAGCTGAACAGACATAAAAATCTAGTTGGACTCTTCCAAAGAGCCCAAACCTCTTATCAAAACAGGATGGAACAAGGTGGTGGGACGATCGAACAAAGTTTCTGTATTTATTCGATAGCAGTGCGTGGGTATCTTGGATCTAATCAAGCATGCTGATGCGAATAGCACTCGAGAGAAGCAAGGGATGACATTGATATGTCCTAAATCCCGGAGGAACCATATCTTGTTCATACAGGAGATCCAGTGTCTAACTTGAGATCATGCGAAAGAAAGGTTAGATCCATTTCATCCAGTCCCACACCACTTATGCCAGACTTCTGTAAAATGGCTCTTTCTGCTCGATCCACAACTGTGGACAGTACGAACACCACGCTCGAGGCCCTGAACAGCAATAGTCAGAAGTTTTGACCCCCATGTCACCCAGAAACAGAGACACGTACCACGTAACCATCCCATACGCCAATGAGGTCCGCCATAACGCAGTGTCGAGTTTTGAAAAGTCGACATAGTTACCAGGGTCCGTTAACACACCATTATGCGTCAAGTATTGTCGAGCCGCCGGCATGGTGGCGTAGAAGCAGAGACCCATTGAGTAAGCAGCAAGGCTCATTATCGACAAACGTGGATCCGATGGTTTGTTAAAGTCTGAGTTGATGAAGACCTCGATACCCAGGGCAGCGCACTGCCGAAGTCGACGTTAGCGTCGTCCATTACTTGTGGAGTCTACCACTGGGGACACAGTTACTAACTGCTATGATCATAGCGGCTTCCTTCATGTCAAGGAATGTTTGATTCGACACGTCATGATACTTTATAACGTTGCGGTACTCCTGACTTCGTAGCCATGCCGCGTAACATATTGTATACGTGGTAAATGAGAGGTTTGCCATCTGAAAGAATCGGATGACGTGTATCGCACCGCGGAAGAGAGTTCGGAGTGACATATTACTCGATTGCATATGATGTGTTTTTGCAATTTGGTATCAGTCAAATGCACGAGAGCAATATCAGTGTCAATAGACTAGGTGTCAGCGGCAGGCTACCTCTATATAGATTGGCAAGATCCGGAGAATTAATTCGATGGGTACGAGCGGGCACTACCTGATGTCTGGTTACATCCGTAAATGTCAGCCGAAGTCGTCATGAGAGGTGGCCCGACTTAATTGCGTTAATGAAGAAGACTGTGTACCGCGATCTAAGCCCGCACCAGCAAGGCGGAGCGGTGTTCCAAGAGACTGACTCGACCTTGGCACGCCCACGCTCCGAACGAATGGGATCACTGCCCTCTTCCGGCCGGAAGCGTTAAGTCAACATACCCACTTCCTGGCACCCCCCTGTTTCTGGCACCACAAAAACGATGGGATCACAACCCAACCTCCTCATTACTATTAACTATTGATCCTCAACCACACCCACTACAATACAGCTGCCAGCCTCACTAGGGCATTCAGAGTCGCTGGATTCAGCCGTGATAACCTCCTTTTCACCCGCTTCGATTTGAGCCCGATGGATATCCCTGATGTTCGCGAACTTCGTATTGGGATCG